TGGAAAGAAATTCATACAGTGATGAGGAGTGGTACTGATGATGATAACAGGCTTGAAAAAGTATTTGCTGCAATTAGACCCATAGTGGTTGATTCAAACCAGTTGAATTTGCTGACAGGTCCATCCGTATAAGTTTCAATTCTTTCTGATATGTCTTGAATGTATCTTTCAGTTGCCAGTTCTTGTTTTCCTTGAATTTGAGCCTTGGTGAGTGACTTTTTAGCTCTCGTAGAACCACTCTTCTGCCAATAAAACTTAAGATATTCTTTATGATGTATGTCTAGATCTTCAACCATCTTTTGTCTAATAGATTTCTGAGCACCTTTTTCGTGTTGACCAAGAGCATGAGCTATAGTGTGATATCCACAATGTCCATCCCCAGGAGGATCATACATAGAAGTAACATAAGGTCTAACAAGCTCTAATAATTGATTATGATACTCTCCAATCTTGTGAGGATCTTGATAATGATTTTTATGATAAAATTCTTGATCATTATCATAGTCAGCTTTAATAATTTCTTCATTATAAGTTAAAGTTTTCATCATTTCTGCTTCTTCTTGTTCTGATTTTAAATCATTTGATTGAAAATCACGTAAATCATTTAAATATTTTGAACTAGCTGAACTATTTGAATCATCTACATCATCTGAATCTTCATCTGAAACATCATTAAGATTTGTTTGATCAATATCAGTTAAATCTTCTGAGTTTATTAAAACTACTGATTTTTTAACATCATCTGATTCTTTTGAAACATCATCACCATCTTCTTCTTCTTCATCATCTTCTTCAGTTGAATATTTAACAGCACACTTTGATTTATCATGACCTAATTCTCCACAGTTACCACATTTCCTTTTGCTCTTCCTTTCTTCTTTTTCAACGTGTTCAAACCTTGAAGGATCCCTCTTGAGTTTCTTATTTTTAGCGCCTTTAGGTCTTCCTTTATTTTTGGGTTTTTCTGATTTAGAAGGAGGTTGAACAGGAACTAAAACATATCTACCACTGATTAATTTCTTCAAATCTGATTCAAATTTAGCTAAATAACTTTCATCTTGTAGTTTAATCTTTTCTAAATGTGAATTAATTTTAACTCTGATTTCTTGAAGATCTCTAGGTGCATACTCAGTAAATAAATGCCACTGCTGATCAAACTCTTCAATTGGAATTGGTTGTTCTACCAGTCCTAAATACGTACTAATTTGATGAGCACATGGTATACCCCAAGTGGGCGTGAAATTTGAGTTGCAAGGAGGAAGTGAAAGTGAATCTGAATTTAAAATTAATTTGAGTTGTTCATTTGCTTTCTTAATAGCAAATTGAGAAATTTTTCCGTGAAGATCGTCAAAAATAGAATGAAATTTGTTGAGTTTTTTGGATTTTTGATGACGGATTGAGCCAATAATTTCATTATATTGAATGTCCAGTGCGTTTTGAAAATGCTTCACCGTTGAAAATAAGTCATGTTTAGTACTTTCTAAATATTTTTTGATGGTAGAATGAGTTCCTTCAGTTTTACTAGTTGTACCGGTTCCGAAATGTTTGAGTTTACTTGTAAAAAGGGAAACAAATTTGCGCTCTTGAGAATACCATTTCTTTTCTATATAGTTGAGAAGGTCCTGAGCATGATTTTCAATTAAGTAATTTTTAATGAGATCTTTTGAGTTGTGATAATCTAAATTTGTTTGAGAAGAACAAAAGGAATTCCATAATTTAAAAAAATGATTTTCATTGATTTTTGATGACTTTGATTTAATATGACTTTGAATATTCTTGTTGATATGCCACAGACAGAGGATATGGTCAGCATCAGGAAAAATATTATGAATACTGTTAATCAAAGCTCTTTCACTATCAGTAGCAAATAACCTAGGTGAAAGTTCAGCATCACAACCTTCAAATAAAAGTTTAAATCTATATAAAGCCCATTCGTAAGTTGGTTGAGTTTCGTCCATCATAAAACAAAAAGCCGCAGAGAAAGGTTTATTGATTGATGTAGTTCCCACGAAATGAAGACATGGTAATTCACAATCATTAGTTTTATAAGTGGCGTCTACTCCATAAACGTGAGGGAAACGTAAAGCTAATTTGATTGAGTCTGGATGAGCACAGAATAAAGATAATAATTTTCTGTTATCGTTGTTATGAACATGATAATTCCATTTATTTTTGATAAAGAAATCTAATAAAGCGGTGATAGGATCCCTTCCATTTAATTCTTGAGCTCGAAATTTCTGTCTTGCATTATAAATGTCTTTCATGATAGGATTGAAACCCGGATTCTTGTCAAGAGAAGTCATAATGTGACGCGGTTTGATTGAAGAACTACTTAATTTTTGAGCTAACATGATCATTCAAGTTAAGGCAAGACCGCGTTCGGCGGCAAAACTCAACTAAACTCCCAATCCCTGCTACAATTTCACGGTTTTCGCCTCCTAACTTTTTAATCCACCTCTCACGCGTCCATTTACCAATACGTACCCCTCCCATAATCCTTTTCGATGGATTTGACCATAACATACATCTGCACGTCATCCTCAATTGCCTCCCAATGGGATCCCTGCCATCGACCCTCGTTCGCCTGCCAATCAAATACACCCAAGCTCAGCCTCATGCACAACTCGATCTTTGTGCTCCTCCAACCCAAAAATATTTCAACTCCCCTGCACTGGCGTCACTACCCTCATCCACTTCTTACCGACACCTGCCTTTTCATACTCTCCATCCATCCGTTACAATCGTCGACTTCTTGTCCTCTCCCGCCATCTTAATTTGTTCTGATCCCTCGATCGACCTAACGCTGTGCCCCAAATCTCTTGTTTTTGCCTCGGTTGATGATACACGATACGACTCTGGCTTTGCTGATATCACGGTACTCGACTCGATGAGTTATTCGCTAATTACCCATGGGATGAATGATCGCTATGAATGCACCTTTTGACCTTCAACTTATTTACTCCCAGGACCCCGTCTTTCAAGGTCACCCCAGCAATGCCTTAAATGCCGTCCCTGACCCACCTCAACCAATGTCACTACTCACGTTCTCAGGCACATCTCCCACCTTCCTTTCATTGAGTAAGGTAACTTGATCAAGGTGAATCTCATTTGCCATTGGTGTCCTTCTTGCCTCAACCCCGTTTCAAATTCGTCTTATGATCACACGCGCATGATACCTGATTCACGGCTGCAACTCCTGTGTTGTTTCGTTTTGCAAACATTCTCTGATCATACCTCTAATACTAATAAATCATCGTAAAATCATCGTACAGTGTCATGTTTGACCTGGACGTCGACGTTGTTCATGGGCTTTACCTCTCAGGCAATTTCCAAATTGAACGCAAGGTGAGTTTTGATATTTGTGATTCCGTCTGGAACGAGCTCACACTTCTTCCGCGTGCAGCTTCTGGAGCAACCGGGGGACCACCCCGACCAACAATCATACTCCTTATGGATCAGTTTTCACAGTGACAAACGTGACAATTTCAATTTTTATGACATCCGTGCCACAACACAGCACGACAGCTCCTTCGATTTCGTCCCCCACCGTATCTACTTCCTGCGCGGCGCATTCTTTCCTACTAATACCTCAGCCACTGAGCGCGACAAGCTTTTCTTTGAAGGGTTGGATACTGCTGTCATTGGAGACCATGCTACATTTGTGAACAGCCTTGCTGATGGTGTTGGGCTTACTGGGCTCGGCCGCGTCATTTCAATTGAGTTGGTTGTCGAAGCTTCAGTTCAATACAACCAGGAAATCACAGACCCAGAGAAACCTACTCTTCACCTATCGGTTCAACACCGCGACTACCATCCCAAAGTATGTGACTTCGTACTCCTTTCCGCAGTCTTTGTTAACTAATAAATGTTTGCGCAGACCAACATTGCTCAATCGATGATTGTTGAATATCGTGTCCCTCCCCACCCCCACCTGGTACATTTTCACCAAGCTATTCAAGTAGGCACCGAGTGCCAGTTCCATGGTCATATCAAAGATTTCAATGAACTCACCCGCTGCTACATTGTAATTGTAAGTTTCAGATCAGATAACTTTTTAGCATCCACATGACTGACAGGGCCTTTGTTCAGGTCAATCGAGTCGATATCACATCTCGAAAGCCCGCGCCTGCTTCTCAGGTTGCTTTTACGCAAGTGCAGGCAACGCTTCCTGCGTGCGACGACCTCAGTCTTCCCAGGTTTGTCCATTATTCTCCCAGTGTTTAAACTCAATGCTCCACCCTGATTGTGCCCGCCTCATGACCAGGGAAATTCGAACCTCGTCCAAAATCGCACTCCATTCCCCTGCGACTTATGTTTGGGGAGGTTCTGTCGTCACAGTCCACAGCTCTGACCAAATCCATACACCAACATCAAGCACTTCGGTATCGTCGGTCGAGCAAGACTCTAGCCCTTCTACGTCGCATCCGCGTAAACAGGTGGCTCGGAAGCCAACAGCCAAAGTGAACCCGAAGGCCAAGACTTTTAACCTGATTGATGAACAATGACTGTACACATTTTTATCGTATTGACCCTTGCAAAGGTCACACGTGATCACACAAATGTTTGCTTATGGCCTTCTTGAGATGCTATCACTATCCAGATCAAATGCTTGTGCAGTTCATGGCTTCCGTCATCTCTGATTTATCTCATTCATTTGTATATTAACATGGTTCAATTTGTATTTGATCATTGTCGTATACTACAACAAAATTGACATATTGTTTTCCAAATGTGATCAGATTTTCAATGGCTCATATTTATTTCTCCCCTCCCTCGGTTATCCCACTGTCATCGAAACTCTTGTTGGCACTATTGCACCGGTGCACTATCCTTATGCTTCGCGTTCTCAAAATATTATTGGCGTCAATGCTCAGCAGATTCTCCGGAATATTACATTTGTTCAGATTGATTCTCACGTGATGTCAGTCCCAAACATTACGATGGTGCTCTGACATTGTTGTGTTGTCTGAGATGCACCACAACGCTTTTTCCTCAAGCGCTCGCCTAACAGCGCGGTCAAGTGATAGCACGATCTTGATTCGACATTCCCGGAGACGAACATATTCCAATCAGTCCTAGGTCAAAAGCATGTCTATGAAGTCTGTCATTTACGCTTTTGGACAGCTAACCACACGCCCAACAGCGGTCGCGAATCAATTGCAACGCATAACATCTCGATCCCTGACCCTTTATTTTTTGTTTAAACACTCACGACACTTTTGGTTATCAGTCTACTACATCTTTTAATACCCAATAAACAACAATTTGCTTGAAAATGATCCAATCTGCCAACTGTCACGTTTCTAAATGATTGCATGGCACGGTCGCCTATGATCAATTCTTTGTAAATCTTCGCTTCACTGAAATTATGCAAGTCCAGCGCTTTCACCCAATATCCATTGGATTCCATCCATTCTCAAAAGTCAGGTGCAGTTTCCACGCTTGCGCAAAGGATTCAACCTTGGAAACTAAAAAACATGCGTTACCTTCTGATCACGGGTGCAATTTTGTTCACACATAGAAGTCATGGTATACTATTGTCGCGGATGCTTCTGAGACCCGGCGCAACCTTGGACATCGGTCACCTGGCCCTGTGAACCTGCGCGTTGGTTGCATTAACTCTTGATTTTCATGTAATAGCTTTCGGCTGCTGGCCACGTCAAGCGATGAACCTCGGGTCGCACCCTGTAGCCATCTTTCCGGCGAATCGATTCCCACCTTCAGACGGCGTTATCCCCTTACGGTCTCAACAAACCAACAACTTTCTCTCGCACCACCACTGTCCATGAATCATGACGTCAATTCAGACATGATCCCATCAGATACCGAAATTACTTCCTCGCTCGCATCGCGTCGATACAAAGATGATCGCATCACGCCCCCTGATACCTGCTTGGTTGGTTCAGAGTTTGCGTCACTACCCACCGGTCAAGAGTGTATTGAATTTCGCTTAATGAACGATTGAGCCTAGGACTTGTGCACAGGATTTCGACAATCTTTTTGACAAAATCGATCAACGCCTTCGGATGGCGTCTTTATCGCGCGTTCCCATGTGTACCCTTCACTGCGTGGAACTGGTTTTCAGGATCGACACACTCTGTCCTCAAAGGCTCTTCTGGCGGTGCGCACAGTTTCGTGTTTCTGCCTTTATCGCTTGCCAATCCCTGTGGCTCTTTAGACAACCGATATCGGGTGCTTACTTGTGACACACTCTTGTGATCAAGCTTTTGTATGCCTAACAAAATCAATATCGTCCCCGTATTCCCAAATGGTTTCTTCGGATTTGCTGGAAACCACTGGAGCACCATCAAATGAAGACATACGTCCTGGCTTCGCGTGAATGCCGAGATCGGTAGTTAGGAAGCGCTTCGTCATTTCAGCAATCGTTGAATGGCAATTCTCATGAAGTACGTCAAGACATAAAAGGCCGTTAGACATGCAAACATTCATTTAATTCGTTCTCTCCAGAATCAGCAAAACGCTTCTACAACGATTTACAACCAAATCCGTGCTCAAATCTAAATTTCTTCCTTTTTCGACATCAGTGGTGAATCGTGAAATTTCTATATTTGTATTCTTCCGTTCATCCCGATCAGATCCATTCTCACGCGTCAAGGGACATTTTCAACATGTCTGAGCCCAACCCATGCACTGGCCACAGTCTCTATCTGTCAGGAATCTTTGGAGTTGAAGAGCAGGTATGTCTTCCCGGTCTTGACTGACGTCCAAGGCGCTATGCTAATGCCATCTGTGGTTTGAACAGTTAGCTGAAGACAAACGTTACAAAGTTGAGTTCCGGAGTTACTCCACGACAATTGGCTGTTCGGGAGCAAATCGCCCCAAGGATTTGCACTACGAAATACGTGCCACCGGTTTTAGCTCCGAAGCTCTGAAACTCGAACCAGACCACTTATATTTTTTGCGTGGTGCATTCTTTCCCACCAACACCGACGAGACCTACCACGATGACTTATTTTTTGAAGGTTCTGACCGAGTCTGCCTGGGCAGTGCTGATAATTTCACCAACAGCTTGGTTGACAAAGTCGGTGTCACCGGAATTGGTAGGGTGCTGGATGTGAATTTTGTGGTTGAAGACTGCTTCCAGTACCTTAAATCAAAGGTCAATGACCCTGATAAAGTGAGTCTGTATGCAATTGTCCAACACTGCGACTTCCATCCTGAGGTCAGTCAGGTTAATTTCTGCTCTATTTGTTCTCTACATGTGAGTTTGATTGCTAATCTTTTCTTCTTGTAGGCAAAGCTTGCTAAAGAAATCACGGTCGAATATCACATTCCACCCTTCAAACACCTTTCTGGTTCACCCCAAGTTGTCAAGGAGGGTCGTGAGTGTCAGTTCCACGGCTACATCAAAGATTTCAACGAAGACACCAATCGTTACGTTGTGATAGTAAGTGTGTCAAATCTCTCCCTCTGAGATCCGACTCTGATGTAACCAATTTGCAGGTTAATAAAGTAGCTCCGACGTCGGGGCACACGGACATGCGTCTGCGTGGCAGAGGGTCCAAAGTGGAAGCTGCGACTGACTCCAATGGCCGCCCCAAGGTTATCAAGTACGTTTCCTCTTCTTTCTGCCCGATTAACTTCTATCGTACTGACTCAACACCCAATGACAGATTCAAGTCACGTGGTTTGAGCACCCCCTTCAGATCTCCAGTCACCGTAGCCGACTCAAGCCCAACCATCCCATTTGGCCCCTCAACCGAAGTACCATCATCGTTTTGCTCCGGATCAGCAAAATCTGCGTCAGCAATTGTCCCCGCTGAAAAGCCTGTTCAACCCACCAAGAAGCGTGCTCGCGCGCAACCCAAGCGTAAGACTGGCAAGGGCACTGATTCCGAGTGAGGGGAAGAGCCTCAAACTTCACCACTAAAGTATGTTTCCTGTTTGGTAAGCCAAATTAGTGCCGGTGAGTCCAGGTCTTTGTTCGCACCCTGAGCCGATAGTCATAACCCGTGCACTGAAATTTGTGTCTGGATGTATAAAATCACAAAGATACGGTTTCCTAAAGCATTTCAAGTCCCACCATAGACTTCATGACTGTCCCAGAGCAAACTTTTCTTCCATAACCTCACAAAACATCAAAAACATTTATGTTTCACCCTCACTATGCAACAAATCCTGGTACCGTTCAGGATCAATCGGTCAAAGATCACGCGCATGTTTCTAATCGTCTCTGTTACTGAACCCTATAAATTCTTATAATTTTAAATTCCCTCCCATAATAAAGCCTGTAAACCCCAAAAATATGTTTCCGATTTCGCCTTATATGTTGTTACATCCTGACACCAATCAGCATCAATCTGATGCAAACGATCTTGCATTTCCCATAGCGATGTTTCAGGCAAGAACATCATAATTAAGTGAGAACTAAGTTTGTGGTTTGTGCACATGCTGCAATGAGCGTTGATCCCATCTGAGCGCATGGCTGAATCTTTCAACGTGTGCAAAAGTTTCCGTCGTTTTTCATCTGCTCGGAACTGTACTATTCCCAATCTCCATTTCAATCATAATGCAAGCATGCCTACGACACACCTCACTTATCCAATTTCAGCTTATCCAAATTGCGAGAACAATTTATGGGCGTATTCAAAAAGCGTGCTAAGTAAATAAGCAACCTCCTGCACTTGTGCCGCATTAGCAATCTCTTGTCTATAACTCCAGATCACCCACTTCATCTTGAGCAGGGATTTGAACGGTTTCAGGGCACGTCTCCTGGATCGATAAAGTTAAAAAATTGGTCGCCTCAGAGCCGCATGATTTCTCATCCTTTTCTAAAAAGTGACAGATGGCTCAGCTCAACCCGAGGATTTACGCAATAAACCCAGTTAATGAAGGCAGATTCGAAATTAGCCCGCAACGACTGTTGTGTATGTTTAATGCCCGTGAATTCAGAAGTTAAATGCCTCTGACAAATCGTTTGCTGGCGGCCTTGGATCACTCCTCACAATAATCGATATGTCCGCCAACACCCCCCCGATAGAAATTGTAGACATGATTTTGTCTTATTTGCTTGATCAATATCCTAAACCAAGTTCCAATGTCTTAAATATTGCCGATCAACCTTACATGAATCACTTGTTTGTTTCTGAATTGCTCAAATGTGGCACCTTGCTGTTCTACCTCACGCGTATCACAGTCTTCGTCTTTATTCTCCATTGATGATCAACCAATTCTCTGACGTGTTGTCAAGCTCAATCGTCATCTCAAGCAGGCATTGATTGTCCCACTTATCATTTGGACATCTTACGTCGCCAATGTTACATATTTGCTCATACCAGATTGGGATCCTTGAAACTGCGACGAGCGAACCGTGCCTGAGCCCAAGAAACTGGGAATTGGACTACACATCAGGCTTAATGCACGATATCGGTCAAATCATTACGATGTGTAGCAAAACGTTAACCAGCTTAAGATTCGTATTCCGGACATCAGTTGGGTTCTCCCCAAGCATCATAGGAGCTGTGAAGCAAGTCGAAAATCTCAAGGTCTTAAACATTATTGGTGGCTCGTTCGGAACTCCAATCAACGACTTGGAGTCGCTGAAGGACCTTCTCGAGGCCACTCTAAGACTACAGTCATTGTCTCTCGAACTTGGTTTCCTACAACGACTACATATCAGCCCTGAGTCACTGCGTTATCTTGAGCATTTGTCGGTGAAGTGCACCTCAAACAACTCTGACGCTCTGGCCCATCTCTGCAAATTTCATGGCAAAAACATTAAATGCTTGGAATACATACCTCACCACGATCGTGATCAAGCTACTTCAATGCTGTTGGCCGTACGATCCACGATCAAAATTCTCTTCACCGACTCCGTGCCTAATTCGCTAGCAGTCAACGTCCGCAATGTGACGTTTCCACTATTAAAAGTGGTGTGCACGCTCGAACCACCCACAGGGCATCGGGATCTTCGATGGCTTGAGTCTGAGTTCTTCCGAAATATGAAAATCATGATCACAAATTACGATCACTCGAATGACTACTGGCATGTGATGCTGAGAAACTACAATGGCGCGTCGTTGACCACACCACCTGACTTCAAGCATATTATCTTTGTCACGCAAGATGGTGTCAATATCGAAGATCGTCCTTTAGCTCAGAGATTTGAAGTTTATGGGATTTGCTGTGTTTTCAGAGCTCAATTGTCGTACTCAGAAATAATGGTGAGTAAATCAAACATCTGAACTTGGGTGACTAGGTACCAAATTGATATTAAACACATTTGTCTTGCAGAATCTACTTCCCTAGCATGGTGCCTGTGCTTATTCTGGCTTTTGACTCAGTCGCCTACTGTTTGCAATCACAGCATAACTTAATTTCTAGATCAAAGCAAATGCGCTTGAGGCCTATTTCGTGTGGAGTCTCAAATATGATTGTTAACACCACAAACAAAAAAGTGTCGTTTCTGCCTTGGTTCCCGAATTGTATATTGTTTGTTCTTGCTTTTGATGCTTACCACAATAAAACGAACGAGATCTGTGCCCAATCAAAATTATGACAATGCGCTCAGATTTCTAAATGAAATCATGCTTGGACAGATCTGTGGGATGGTTGTGTTCAAATTCATGCTTGCTTGAGAATTAGCATCCCTTGTTCATGAATTCGCGTGAAACCACACAATCAAAATGTAACAACTCAAGATTCCCGGATCCACAGTCTTGAGAAAAAGTTACGAGAACAACATCGGGGAGGTAGGCTGCTGGGGGCGCACAAAGTTTATGATTCACGCTATCGTATGTCATAAATAGTTGAGTCACAGTGATGCAAATGGCAAATTGTCGTCATTTGTTTCGGACATTCTATGACTCAAAGAGTATGAATTACAAATTGATATCAAAAGCAGCAGGCTTCATTGTACTTGGATGTAAGGATAAATCTAAAAATAAAAAAAACACATAGTGTCAAAAGTATAGGGTAATGACTTGTCAACGTGCCATTAGATTGCCCTTGCTTTTTCATAAGAATGGTATTGGCACTTCAAGTTTAAAGCACCAGTGTTCATAGTTGAATCTTTTAATCTGAAATAAACATTTGTTTCGTCTGCAATGCAATACATAATTATTAGATGGATAATGAATCTTGAAGGTAGGAAAGAAGCCAACTTACATAGGAATCATGATCGACTATTCTATTCCGCCAACGTTAACGTTTGAGCATTTTGATTCTTAACCCAAACTTCTGCTTCCTACAAAATGAGTTAATTTTTAGACAATCACTAAACCGTAGAATAAAAAATCACTTACTAAAACCTCAGTGTATGTCATTGGGCCCCTGAAATGACAAGTTAATCTTTGCTCTTGGAATGCGTGAACCAGCTCAGAGTCATGAATAGAAGAGGGACTGGATGATATGAAAATGATGTGCTTGAGATTGGTGGGTCGGATGCTGGGATTTGCTCGGAATCCAGCCAGAATTTCTTCCCAGTTTTTCTTCGATTTAGCATAATTTGTAATGAAAATTTCGATGTTTTGAAAGAAAGGGGATTGCAACCATTCAAGTTCGATAGGTGAAATGTGGGAATAAGAACATCGTAAAATGCGAAGTCGAGAGAAGTTGTAAACGGCCATAGTTTGTGGGATGCAAGAAGGAAATGCGTCTATAGAAAGCGCCTCAATTGAGTCCCACAGAGCAAAGACCACGGATGCAGCCTCGTTTGCATCGCCAGAGGGTGAGTATTCTAAAAGCTTCAAGTTTTTCGCGTACAAACGGCAGAAGTTAACAATGGCGTGGGTGTTTGACTCATCATCTGCGAAGAACAGGTGTTGTAAATTAGGTAACGACCCAGGGGAGACGTGAAGACTCTCTAGCGAAAGGAAATTCAAAGAAAGTGACTCTAGCGATGGTACCTGGTTGAGGAAAGCAATCAGAGTTTCGGAATCGTGTTGGATGCGACGGGCGATGATAGATTCGGAGCCATTCTCATGGCGCCGAGCCAAAGTAGAAGTAATGATAAGCACCTTGAGGTTTGAGGCGGCTGTTGCAGCGTGCACCATCTCTTCAGAAAACCCGACTGGACCAACGAACGCGAGTTTCAATTCGGTTAAGTTATGGATACAAAGATCAAGGATCCGGCCAACGTCGGGTGTGTAGAGAACAGGGGCTGGGAAACGATGGGGGTGTAAATCAAACTGAGCACCACGGTCGCCGGGGAAAACTTGGCCGCAGTGCACATAGTATATATGCCCAATACTCAACCTACGTAAACCATGCATGCCGGGATTGACGAAAGCTTGGTTTTGTTTTTTCAGAAGATTTAGGACTAAGAATGGCCATCGGAGGTCGAGCTCTCGGAAAATGAAACTCATGATCGTATTGTTCCATTCCCTGCCAAGGACGCGCATTTTCAGGAGTGAATTGAGAGAGACATGTTTAAGATAACCGCGATCAGCTGTGTTGATGAAATGTGAGGGGGTTTTTGCATTGTCTTTGAAATAAGAAAGTATAATTTCAATGATCTCGACCGGAAGCCGGGGGGCGTGTTGGGTCTTTGGCACCATTAAGAAACTGGTGAAAAGCGAATGGCAATGTGAGAAATCGAAAAGGATCCATAGCTATAAATCATGTGCCAGAATTTGAAGCAATGTAGGCTAGGGGTCTTTGACGTTAGATGATGTTGATCTACATTGCAAATCCGGTTGTGTGGCCTGCCAGCGTTGAATTACACATTGGGGAGAACTGGGAAGTGTGAGGCAGATTCGCACTTGCTACATAAGTCGTGACGAGAGTCGATGGAGTTCAATAACCGAAACGTCAATAGTCGCGACTTTTGAAAGGTCAAGGCAAGGATTGAAGGGGGTATATGGCGTCTGGTAAATTCCCGCCTGAAAGCTAGGGTGTCTTTGGAAACTGCGAGCATCGCACAAAGGTGACAAATATTAGGGTTTTGGAAGATAAAGAAATGGATCGGAGGGATTATTCAAACTCGTGAGTTGATTGATCAATTGGAGTTCGTGAATGCTAGAGTGAGAATGATTATAGGTGAAAAATATGTCAAGTGTGACATAAGCTTCATGCTGTATCATGAGAGCCACTAATTATCGCAAGATTTCATCGTCGAAGACATTGGTGAGTCTTGATCGCGCGGGCAGATTAGTTTCACGTAAGGTATCACAGTATAAAAATTTTCAATCGCGGGTCAATTGGTCTGGCAAAGACTCACAGTAACGCTCAGCATGCACAATTGGGATTAGCCTCAGCGTACCAGGTTTTGGATATTCGCATTCGATTTTAACCCCGGAGGTGGATGCCGACGCACTTTGAATACTGATCATTGGTAGTGTGTCTTTCACAAGTTTGTAGGTTTGGGTCAAGAATTTTTGTATCATACACATAGGAACATGTGGGTACCTAGGCGGTCAAGACCTTTTTTCATTCGAGAAATACACTATCTTTTCCAAATCTTGTCGCTAACACAACATGCAGGACCATTCAAATCAGGACTGATCTGGGCACCTCGCGCATGGAAAGTCCCCAACGAGCTTTGTCGATACACTGACCAGCGATGTCAATTCGCGTCGATTCTGGAGCGCTGGTTAATTCGCTCATGAAACAAATGCTGGTTTATCAAAATTCATTTCGAAGTCGGGAAATGATCTATACGCAGCTTACTGACGTTCAGGAAAATTTTTTGCCTCTTACAGCGTGTTCCCGATTGTCAAGCTGTAGCGTCTACGCGCGGTGATAGACAATTATTGGCGAGACGGCAAACATATTCAACCAAGGCTTCACCGGATTTATCCTTGGAGCGAATTTTATGATCTGCATTATAAGGATGCATACTAACTTCGCTGTTGATTGATGCCAAAACATTAAGACGACACTACTCAGGTAATCGGCAGCAAAGGAGGTATGAATATTCCGGCGTGAACGTGCGGTGCGTACTTACAATGATCATAGTAAGAAACGCTGTTAGGAGAGTAGATATGGAAACTGAACCGCGTTTGTTTAACAGATCATGCGCTTAAAACGGCTCTGGACGTAATGTGACTGGCCAAGCATGTAACCAGGAAGTGAGGCCAATTGAACGAACCAACGTTTGCATAACTTCATCCCGCGACAAAGCACTAACTGAGCTCAATAGGAAGCGACAATATACCCATTGTGAGGGCGATTGCTTTCGGATGTGAACATACATCGCGAGATAAGTAATGTTGAGCATTAGGTGACTTATGAACGTAGATGTTGCGGCTTCGGGGCGAGTGGAATACGTGATTAAACTGACTCTATGACCAATTATGTGCAGTTCCAAAATGTTATAGCAAAGTTTCTGGACAAACCCTTGAAACAGGGTCAACCACGCTTTGAGTCTCATTGTGTTATTAATGTCATCTTTGTTGCTCATTATTGCTCCTGACGAATTGGTACTCATTGATTCCCGGTTGTCCTTGATGCCACCTAGGAGAGTCGCGCGCGGGCGGGCAATCCGCTCTGAGCCACTGGGTTGTGAAGCCAACCTGTTATCCAGGTTTCGCAATGAAATTCCTTTCAACATTGGCAGTCAAACCGATCAATGTCAGGGGTGTCAGGCTTTCAGATGGAAACTTGAAAGGCGTGTGAAGGATTTTCGACTCGCACGCGCTACGTTTGGCAATTGTTGTCGCCATGGCGATGTAGACCTACCACTGAAATACTTTGCACAATCGGTGGACGAGCCGGTTCCAGCTTTCTTTCGTCAACTATTGGAAGGAAGTGATAGTCGTAAGAACCAATTAATCTGACCTTGGCTGTTTCAGAGACTGATCTTATGACTGCCTCAGGCGCGAAAAATTTTCGAATGAAGATTCAAAAATACAACAACGCTCTATCGTTTACGTCGCTGGGAATGAACCTTGATGCCAGTGTGGCGGCTGGTTCAGGCCATTATGTCTTCAGAATTAGTGGCCAACTATCGCACAATATCACTTCGCTCATGACGCTTCCAGGTGGAGACCCAGGATTTGGTCAAATTTTTACTTATGGAGCTGGTGGGGCGGGTGAGGCACGACTTAGGGCCCGTCGATCAGGAGTGGATGGCTTGGAACCAGATATTCTGTTACTATTTCAAGACTTCATGTACCGACATAACCCTTACGCTAAAGTTTTCAAGTCTGCGGTCGCAATTTGCAATGACGAAGTTGTGCGTACACTCAGGCTCAAGACAATTCTAGCTCCGGGGTCAGACCATCGCCGATACAACTTACCAACCGCTAACGAGGTAGCGGCGATCGTTGAAGGTGATGGAACAGTAGGTGCGAAACATCGTGATATTGTGCTGGTGCGCCGATGCGGTGCACGACAGCGAATCTCCGAACTACATACTGGATACTTTGCACTCCGATATCCTCTGCTCTTTCTCTACGGTTCTCAAATGTGGTCTGATTGCTTCAAAAATCCAACGCCGTCAAGTATGTCATCTTTGTGTTTTGTACTTCATCTAAATACTGACCGTGTTCTATCGGCAGATCCCAAAGGCAACGTCTCAAACCTCGATTGGTTTGCCTACCTCCTGTTCAGACGCCCTGAGTGGTCTGTCATATTAGCTTCTGGGCGATTATTCCAGGAATTCGCTGTTGATATGTACGTTTGCATAGAACACTCAAGATTGCAATTCTTACAATTTCATCAAAATGAAATTTGCGCAGAAATGTATCAAGGAGCTATAGAAGCGTTAGGCGATGAAACCGATAATCAAGTCGTTGGCCAAAGAATTGTGTTGCCGTCAAGCTTCATCGGAGGTCCAAGGCATTTAAAACAATTATATCAAGACGCCATGAGCTTGGTGGCTGAGTATGGTAATCCGAGTTTGTTTATAACAATGACTGCAAATCCCAAATGGTCTGAGATTGAATCCGAATTAGGACCTGGGCAAACTCATGAAGATCGGCCTGATTTAGTGGCTCGAGTATTTGCTCTAAAACTCCTTGAATTGCTCGACGATGTTACCAAACGCGATCGCCTTGGAGTGTGCCTCGCTTACGTGTACTCGATTGAATTCCAGAAACGCGGTCTACCACATTGTCACCTGATCCTATTCCTGCACCCTGATTCACGTCCAGTGTCAACAACTGATGTTGATTGCTTAATCTCGGCGCAACTCCCGGATCCCGATACTGAAGCGGCTTTGTTTGAATTGGTAACGCAACACATGTTGCATGGTCCTTGCGAAAAGTATCCATGCTGGACAGGGACTGAATGTACGCGTGGTTACCCGAGGCCTTTTTGCGAAACGACTTCCATGCCCGAGAATTCTTACCCCACTTACAAGCGACCCAACAATGGACGTCATTTTGACAAGGGCAGTATGCGGTATGAAAATAGTAGTGTTGTCCCGTACAATCGCTTTTTATTGCTTAAATTTGGATGTCATATCAACGTCAAAGTCGCAGGAAGCATAAGAGCAATGAAGTACTTGTTCAAATATATATTGAAAGGTCATGATTGGACAATGGCAAATATTGAGGATGAGGCGAGTAAAGATGAGATCCTAGCGTTTGTGAATGCACGATATATCAGTGCCCCTGAAGGCAAGTTGTTCTGATACTTTTGTGTAACACAATTAGGACTAACGCTTCGATCTAGCGGTGTGGCGACTTCTTAGGTTCCTGATCTCGGGCCGCTACCCACCAGTTCAGCGCCTTGCATTACACTTGGAGGATAATCAAGTCGTGTACTTTCAGGACGAAGCGGGTCTGCGTAGACAGCTTGAGACTGGTAGAGCAGAAAGAACAACACTGACGGAGTTCTTGAGACATTGTCGGGAAAATACCAAATTGCCTTTTGCTGATGGAACGATTCAAGATCTTAAATATCAAGAAGTCCCGCAACATTTTACTTGGGACAAAAAGGCAAGACGGTTAAAACCTCGAGCCAATAAAACCATTTCCATCGGGCGAGTTTAATTTGCAAACATCAAGCGGGGTGATGTTTACTATCTAAGGTTGTTATTGTCAAATATCCGCGGACCCAAATCTTTTGAGGACCTGCGGACCGTCGATGGAATCTTGCACACCACATTTTGTGAAGCTGCTGATCAACGAGGACTCTTGCTTTCCGATCAACACTATCATCATAGTCTGACCGAGGCGGCGGTATGGCAAACCGGTAACCAATTACGTCGTATGTTTGCAATAATTTTAGTTCACAGCTCGCCTGCCGACCCCAATAAACTCTGGTCAGACCATATCAGTGACTTGTCTGACGATTGCGAGTATCAAATCAAGGAATTAAATCCTCAAATCGACCCATCAAATGAACAAATTAGTAATTATGCGCTTTGTGAACTCGAAAAAATTCTGGTATCTATGGAGTCAAATCTTGAATCGGTGGGATTGAACTCAGTCAATAAAAATTTAATGCTCGAATTGGAACTTCCTGGTGGTAGTAGGACTGATCAACATCAACAAATTGATCCCATCGAAAGCGGACGCAAATTTGAATCAATGCTCCAAGTCCTTACCGTAGAGCAACGATCTGTTATTGGCCCAATAATTGAAGCTATAACAAACAATGCGCCATATTT